CCTCCTCCTCCTCCTCCTCCTCCTCCTGCTCCTCCTCCTCCTCCTCCAACACGATATGATTACATTCATCTGTATGTTCATCTCTTTTCTCGCCTCGCACAGTCATCACACTTCTTGTTGACGTGCTCTAAATAGTAACGGTAAACTGATGTGAGGCTATCCGACTCTTCAGCCGACTCAAGCATCACCAACCTCAAGTTGAAAGGCGGCCCAACATAAATCGGCTAGCAACATAGAAGGTTGCTAATTGCAGCGCCGCCTGTATATGTTGGGGTTCCAGTCTTCCTCCTCAGTTCTAACTATGCAGGAAGCCCTGAAGCAAAACTCGGAACATACACGATGACATACTGCCATTGCGGGAGTGTGAGCAGGATTGCAAGAACATAAGACAGGCAACTCGAATGATGAATGAACACCTGAAAAACTTCTCTTGTTCCAGGGATCTCAAGACTGGCAGAGCATGTACAACAATCGTGGAGTCTTGTTGATTTGGGGGTCACTGCCAGCGGGACAGTGGAAGTTGCTTTGCTTGGGCCAACCATTGTGCAACTGGCTTGCAATGTCACGCCTATGGGCCAACCCTACACTGACCCGAAACCCTAAAAACCCTAAAACCCTAAACCCTAAACCCTAAAACCCTAAAACCCCGAAACCCTGAACCCTAAACCCGAAACCCTAAAACCCGAATCCGAACACCACGAAGCTTTCGTGGCAGGAAGTAGCGGCCGACCAGGTCATGGTCCGGAGATCAGAGCTTGGGGGCTATATGAGCTTAAGGGGGCTTCATCTTCAAAACGAGAATACGGATTTGGGGTATTTTATACTCTATACGAAGTATAATAAGGACCCCCCCCCAAAAAAAACAAAAAAACAATAAAATTATGCGGGTTTGGGGTTACGGGGTTTGGGGCTGGGCAGCTGACAGGACCGAGCATAGGATGTGAAGGTCCCGGCATGAGCCTGTATGTTGGGGGCCTGTGGTCTGGTGGTCTCATCGCAATTAGAATAGGGCTTGGTGGTATCTTACGATAGTAACGATATGAGGGACTATAAGGGGTGTATTGCTTCTAGTACTTAAAAACTCACCTGTATTGCTCCGCCCCAACCCGCAGGATAGCCATTGGCCAGGGTGCAGCCCTCTCCGCCGTGCACGAGCGCCCATGCATCTATGATGCCGGTTCTGGGTTCGCCGACCCCCGCCCACTGGTATCCCCCCCCCTCACCGACCCACTCCCCAAGCCGAATCTGTGTGACTGCGCACACTTTGTGCATGTGCACATGAAGGCACCAAAACCGTCATCTGTCACGAGGGTCGCGTCTCAAAGATGTCCGAACCGTGTGACAGTACAAATTGTTCCGGCACGATTCACACGTGAGGCCGCCCAAGCCGTAAACTGTCACGAGGATCGCTTCACAAACACGCCCGATCCTTGTGACTGTGGACACTTCCCAAAGAAAGACGACTCCGACATGAGAGGACCGTGTTCCCTGACAGGCACGACCCCTGTGACATCTGGCCCATTGCAACCTTATGGCTTTTACCCCCAGTGACAACTGTCACGCAGAAAGTGGCCCTACGATCAATAAAGCGATAATCGTTACCATTCACGTGGGCAGAAAAGACCCGACGACCAGCCAATAAAGTATAAGATGTTTGAGATAATGATGGTGATGGTGATCATCGTCCCTATCATCATTATCATCATATAGGGATGAGTATAAGTATACCAAACACCCAAAGAAAACCTGAACCCACACCATGCCACAGGGGGGAGGGGGGGAACAAAGGGAGGGGGGAAGCAACCCAGAACCACACCACACCACGGGGACGGGGGTGGAGGGGCGAACCATTTGGCGGCGGTGTGGGAGGGGGGCAGGCCGAACCGGGATCATGTATTCCGTGGGTGAGGGTGCAGGTGTTCAGATTCAGGATTTAGGGCTGAAGCTTTCAGGCTCAAGGTTCGGCTACAGGCTGGAGAGACCCCAAGGCCTTCCCGACTGTGAATTTGTTCAGGTTTGGCGTGCTACGTCCCGCACGAAAAGCAAGAGAGTCTGCGACTATTCGCCGAAAGGTTTTTGGTCCATTTTTGGTCCAGGCATCTGAGAATCTGGGCAGTCGAGGCTCCAATTCTGAGCTAGGTTTGATGATAGGCTTTCCTAAGAGTTTCAGTAGAAAATATGGGAGTTTCCGAAAATAGGGGGCCCTAATATAGTAAATAAAAGGATCCTTATTATAAGGACCCCCAAGTCAGGTACCCCGTAATTTTCGGAAACTCCCATATCGGGTCTCATTTCTCAGGCTGCCCACCATTCCACAGGGTGAAACCAATGCTTCGATCCTGCGCCGATGCCGTTGAGAGCCATTTCTGTTCTGTGAGGGGGTCGATGTCTTGGCCATGGAAAGACGATACTCTACACGCCGAAGAGCAGAATTATTTGCACCGTTGCAGATACAAAACCCTGTTGTAATTATTGAACCCCGTATGTTACAGCTTTAACTAACATTTTCGTGCAGTAGAGGCCCAACCCGAAAAGACGCAAGCTGCCTGTGGAATCCTATGTATTGTCCATGGACAAGCCTACTGTCTCCTCAGGAACCCAGACCCCAAACTTCAAGTCTTCAAGCCCCTATCCCTAAGGCTCCATGTACCCTTCTAGTAGAGACTTAGGCCTTAAAGTATCTACATAGGGACCACTTTAAGACCTAAGTATCTACTATAAGGGTACATGGGGAGCCTTCGGGTATGAATTCTGGGCTCTAAAGCTGCCTAAACCGTAGAAATATCATGGAAAAGTTCACGTCATACGCCACCATCCGCGACCAAGTGACCGAGGAACCAGGGAGCCCCCAAATACTAAATATAGGAGGCCTCAAGAGTCAGTGCAGGGTCTTTCGCGCAGAATACTAGACTATTTTCGCTTAAAGCTTGTATTGTTCGCCAGGTTTGATCGCAGAGGTGCTCCCAACGACACTGGACGCAGCTTTCGACGATCCATTTGCGGCTAACATAAGGGCCTCACACAATACTTAAGAAACAAGGGTTTGGGGTATCTCAGAGTGTGCTTGTATTAAGCAACCCTAAGGGAATGGCACAGCCCCCCATATTACACCTCCAGATGTGCAGAAGCTTCCAGCTGTGACAAAATGAGATGCTGCTTTTGCAGGACATCTCGGACCCGATAAGCCAGGTTCGACAAATCAGAGTCTGCCTGCGAGCACGGGGCGGCAGACGGGGTCTACTTGGAGGGTCGGGGGACTTAGTAACTGGTTATTTTAGGGACTTATAAGACTTATAAGTACCATAGCCCCAATTAGGGTCCCTTTTAGGGTACTTATAAGTCTACGGGGTCTACAGTAGAAGCCAGAAAGTTGGAATATCATTATCGTAACCCCTTTAAGGTAAATTATAGGGGATCCTACCATTAATCCATATTCCAACTTTCTGGAGTTCCCTTTAGTTAGGGATTGAAAATGCTTTCCCTACTGTTGAAGCGACACTATTGCCGATTCTGATACTGCTCCTTTCGGGGATGGCGTCGACCACAACGAAGGACTGTGTGAGGCTACCGGCAAGCATATGCTAAAGCACAACAGTATCCAAACTTCTGGCCGCAATGAGCATCGTAGCCGCAAGAAGTGCAACAGTCGCCTCGACTAACCCGAAAGCCTCCGACGAGCAAAGAGAATCAGCATACCCTCCCCACCCCAGCGTGTGCGGGCCTCGTTTGTTCTGCTCCAGTTGCCACTGGTCCTCGGCTGTGGGTTGGGACTCTGTCGCGACTTTCGTTTACGTCTCGCGGTAAAGAGCAGCATCATCGTCATCATCCCCATCGTCATCGTCAGCCTCCTCCTCCTCCTCCTCCTCCTCCTTCTCATCATCACCATCATCTTCCTCATCACGTTCATGTGCATCATGAGCAACGCCACCGCCACCCCCAGCACCACCACCGCCATCGAATCTCGGAGCAATGGAACATAGGGCCAGTCCACAACAATTTTCGAACCGCAATCCTAAGTATCATTTAAATGACCTGAACCATGCAAAACAGCCTGCAAAACAGCTTTGACCTGTCCCGAGACATATCTGCACCCACACCCGCAAGCAAAATCACGACAAAGTGGTACCGAGGTGCATTTCAAGCTGTATGCGCTGCCGTGTGAGGCCTGCCAATGACGTCCGAAACGCTTCAGCCGCAGTATCACAGCCTCTAGCCTATAGGCCAACACTCCCAACGAGAACTCTGCATTTGTTCAGTGGGGCCCAAGGTAGAATCGATGGCGATTCTCCAAATAAGGAATAAAGGAGTTAGAGGTTGAGCCTGTTACACGTTCGTTATTGCCGATGCCTCACCTCTCGGGTCAGGGCTTACACAGTCCTGGCGTGCCCTAAGTCATAGGGACCCTTGAAGGGGTAGGGGGCCTTAATTAATGCCCATAATAAGGACAAAATACGGCCGATTTTAAGGAAGTATAGTCCCCTACCCCTCTCCCCCCCTACCCCGCTAAGGGTCCGTATGACTTAGCAGCCCTGTGAGCTACAAACCGGTTCGAGGGACTGAAAGCACTGGGCCTCGTGGACGTCCAACATGCTTGAACTCAGCTGCTATTGCTACTGCTACTACTACGGCTACTACCACTACTACCACTACTACTACTACTACTACTACTACTACTACTACTACTACTACTACTACTACTACTACCACTACTACTACTACTACCACCACCACCACCACCACCGTCATCTATTGCCTATACTACCTACTTCTCGACTCGGTGAGATTGAGAAACAGACGCTTTGGAAAGTAGAGGCGGCCGGTTTCACAACGCAGGTCTACTTGAGGGCTCCTTTGAGGGATGCCAATAGATGAGGTACCCCGTAAGCCAAGAATCTGAAACCTCTTCAACAATCTTGGAAAACCGAGGTTAGGAAACCCCGCAACGAAGACAAGTGGAAACAACCTTAAAGCCCATAATTTCTGTATCCAAACCTGAGATCCTAAGCCCTCAATGCCCTAAGCCAAAACCAACTCAAGCTGCTCTTGTTCATTCGGACATTTCCTTCACCCATCTGGCCTGAAACCCTCTCCTCAGAACGGCGCAGCTTGCAGCGGGAGATGCACGTGGAGAACACAAAGGAGTTTTGAACTACCTGGCAGAGATTTGCATTTACGCTTTGGGGGTGCCTGAAAATAGGGCACCCTAATATGCGGGAGATGCACGTGGAGAACATAAAGGAGTTTTGAACCACCTGGCAGAGATTTGCATTTAGGGTTTGGGGGTGTCTGAAAATAGGGAGGGCACCATGATATGCGGGAGATGCACGTGGAGAACACAAAGGCGTGTTGAACCACCTGACAGAGATTTGCATTTACGCTTCGGGGGTGTCTGAAAATAGGGCACCCTGATATGCGGGAGATGCACGTGGAGAACACAAAGGAGTTTTGAACCACCTGGCAGAGATTTGCATTTTTGGGGTTGGGGGTGTCTGAAAATAGGGCACCCTAATATGGTACCCTAAAATAGTAGGATCCTCGTTATAAGGACCCCAAGACTAATTCCCCTGAGCCCTAGTTTTCGGATAATACCATTTAGGGTTTGGGGGTGCGTAGCCAGACCTGCAAGGAGCCTTCCACAGGCCTTTCCGCAATCATCCCTTAAGCCCGGGCTTCCGAAACACTAAAAGTTGCCGCTGCTGCACCACGTGAATGGCCAATTGCTTTAGGAGTTTAAGGTTTCATATGGGTAGTTGTGAAAAAAGTTAAGGTCCCTTCTTGGGCACCCCAAATATTAGGTGCCGTATTATAACAAGGACCCGAAAAGGGACCAGAATTTTGACAACCACCCATATCGGAGCCTGACTCGAGAAACCCCTGCCGATCTTCTAAAGGTCCCAGATCTCCAACCCCAGCCCTGAACTCCACCCTACTCCTGAACTGAGACACACCATTCTCCAGCTTGCAAAACCCGAAAGCCTAAACCCCCCTAAACCCTAAACCCTCAACAGGCCTCGATGAAGTTTTTCAGGTCGGAGAGATCTACAAGGACCACCTTCTCGACTGATTGTTGGAGAACCGTCGAGAGATTGTCCAGCAAATCCACCATGACCTCAGGTTCAGCGCATGCTGGGGCTTGGTTTAGGGCTTAATGTTTAGAGGTTGACGTTCTCGCAGCTTGTACTCTGCCAGAAGGGGTTGGGTATTGGTTCGGGGTTTTGCGAGGTCACGAAGTTTGGCTTAATGGTTTAAGGGCCAGTCCAAAAGCCGCAGCTGGAGGTTCAGGCTTCAATCTTGGAACGTGGGGCGGCACGGTAGATTTTGCGGCCTTACCATTCGAATAGTTTGAACAGTAAAGCTCATGCACATCGCAGAACTTCTACAAGTATCCCTGCGCAAAGCTTCTCTCCTTCTCTGCCAGGCGACCTCGAAGAGCCTCGTGAGCCCAACCTCAGTTCGATGATGGGAGGCCAAAAGCGGGGCTTAAGATTCTTGGGGTAGGGCTTCCTTAATATGAACCCTAGTATGGGAACCCGAACCCCTACTAAACCCCCATAGGCTAAAAACCCCTTTTGGAGCCCAAGCCCAAGCCCAAGCACAAGCAAGAACCAAGAATCAACACCGCCACCATCACCGCCACTGTCACCAACACCAACACAAACACCGCCACAACCACCACCACCACCACCACCACCACCACCACCAACAACAACAACAGCAGCAGCAACACAGACAAATACAACAAACACCACAACCACCAAATGGCCCTAACATGGCGCACTTGGAATATCTTTGTCAATGGTTGTCTTTGCGTTTGATGCTGTTCCGGCATTCGTCGGTCATTGGCACAGGCGCGCCTGGAAGCCTTCAAGAACATACTGAATCCTACGTGGTGCTCGATGTGCACGCGACAGCTGTGTGAGTCGGGGTTACGGCAATCGGCTCGATCTATGCAGGGCCGCCGGGGCTTACGATGTCGGGGCTCGTCCGCATGATGCTGGAATGCAGTTCCAAACGAGGCGACCATGTAATCTCCCCTTTTTGCTGCAGGCTTGCTTGCAAGGACGCCTGGTAATTTGCCGCTCAATCTCCCCTAAACTCAAAACTCGCCCACCAAGCGGCCGCGGCGTTAGTTTTTGACTTCTGCACGCAATCTGGCAGGAACTCGAGGATGATCGCTCGACCTGACCAGCAAAGACAGAAGGAAGTGCTGGGTTTTGCGGTTTTGGGGTTAGGGCCCTGGGCTTGTGTTTGGGATCAATCCTACGACTAGCAATATTATTCAGGAGCGTGATGCTGGCAAGCCGGTATAGTCACGCCAGTCACGCTGCTGGCTACGAGGGTCGTAGTCTGACGGAGATGGTGATGATTGCGACAGTCGTAGTGCAAATGCTATGATGGACAAACGAACTCATGTTTGAGAAGGCGCCTTTGGGACAAAGACACATAAGCTTCCAAAACGGACGCTACTTCTCGGGAGCCTTCGTCGCATCATCCTAAATGGAGCTGGAATTACTGGCAAGTTACAGGTTTTAGCAACTGCTGCCCGAAGTGGCGCTGGATGCCGTCGGCAAGCAAGTGATGCACCAAGGTCGCCCGCTCCTGATCGCTGAGGGTCGGGAGCCAAAATCAAAGCTTCAGGAGATAAACCCGTCAAATAACTTTCCCGGCCTTCCATACAAATCGCCAGTGTGCGTGAGCAAAACAGAAGTAAATCCTCACTCTCTTTCTCTTTCCGGTCCGGCAGCGACCGCCTGCTGCGAGACCTGGATTGCCCTGCCTGTCTCTGGCCGACTCTGGCTCGCTTCTTTCTCTAGCTCAGTGTCTCCCTCTCGCTTTGGCGGGCTGACCTTTGCCCGCGCTTAAGCCCTAAGCCCCGTGTAACCCCAAATGCTCCGCAGCAAGCGACATGCTGACTGAAGAAGCGTCGCGGGGCCGCCCAATCTCTAACTAACACACCTAGCCCTAAACCCGTCAGGGCTGCAAGTCATGAATCCCTAAGGCTCATGAGTTTCAGCAAGCCCAAATTCCCGAAAGCCCAAGAACATGAGACGCAAGGAACGATCAGGGACATGGTTTCACGAACACAATGCCAAACTATTGGCCAAAAGCCCTAGACCCATAACCTGAGCCGAACTTTTAACTCCTAAGCTCTGGAACCGGCTCTATACTTATCGGGCCGGGCGTCTCGGCTGCCAAGCAAAGCCCAGGCTTTTTGGAGCTTTATGTAGCCGCGGCCTTGTATGGAGGGGCCAGAACGATTAGAATAACTGTTCGGAGTAGTACAATAAGGAGCCGTGTGGAAGAAAAATGGTATTTATTCGGGTTGCTACATATTCGGCTACATATTCGCGCTAAGGGTAGAAACCGTGCCGTTCAGGATTCAAGGTTGAAAGTAGAGGCAAGTAACGATTTGGGCTTTCAAGAAATCTGAGGCTCATGTTCTGCTATCATACACAAGAAGCCATCAGCGTCCCGCAACAGTAACCCTTAGCACCGAAACCCCAAATAAATTGCGCCTGTCTCACAAGAAACGCAGGCCCGCACAAAATTTACCCATTTACAGCTCGCCCTGAAACTGTACTCAAAAATACAACAACGAAAATGCTAAACAAGCATAGGCGAAATCCTGAAACCTCAAGCCAAGAATTTGGGGGCAATACGAATTAGAATACGGCAAATTGGGGGGATATTATACTATTACTTATATCAAGGAACGCCCCCGTTCGAAAAAATATTTGTAATTATTGAGGCCCCCTATACCATAGAACCCTACTATAGATCCTTTTAAGGAGCCCCTGCAAAATAACAAGGTTTAGGCCCCTAAAGAGTAAGCAACAAGGGGGTCCGGCCAAGAGTCGATCCTGCTCGCGGCCCAGGCAGGCCAGGCGCATTAGGGCGAGGTCCTGTAAAAGGGCACAGGCCATTGTCAAAGGGTTAGAGGATGGACCCTTATATAGGGTTCCTTAAAGGGATCTATAAGGGTTCTATAAAGGGTTTAGGGTTTAGGGTTTAGGTTGATTCAAAGGGGAAAAGGATGGACCCTTAATAAGGACCCCTAGGTATATACCCTTAATATAGCCATTATATACCCATTATATAGCCCATTATATAGCCCATTATAGGGTAGGGGTCCCCATTAAGGGTCCATCCTTTTCCCCTTTGACATTGGCTTAGAGGTGGGTCGGTCTAGGGTTTCGGGGCTTTAAGGGTTTAAGGGTTTAGGGGTTTAGGGTTTTAGGATTTCGGGGTTTAGGGGTTTAGGGGTTTGGGGGTTTCAGGGTTTACAAGGGTTTTTTTTTGTAGTTGCAAGTCCCTTTTCCGTTCGCCGTGGTCCAGAAAGCGGTTTCCACTGGGCGTAGTTAGGGTTTATAGGATTAGGTTCAGGTATGCGGCTCAAGGGTTTTCGGCGCTCACACCTAAGAGTTTTAGGGTATGGGGTTTGGGGTGTTTGATTCCCCTGCTACTGGGGATTTAAGAGGACGATGGCATCAGTGCCAACTGCCGGCTGTGGGCAGAAACTACGTTGGTGGTTTAGTCCAGGGGTAAAAAGGAGGGACCCTAAATAAGGACCCCTAGGGGTATATACCCTTAATATAGCTATTATGTACCCATATTATATAGCCCATTAAATTAGGTAGGGGTCCCCATTAAGGGTCCCTCCCTTTCCCCTTTGGTTTAGGGATGCTTGGGGTTTCGGGCTCTAGGGCTCCAGGGCTTCTGGTTCCGGGCTTTCGGGCTTCTTTCGAAACGATTTCAAAGGTTTTCGGTGCTTCAGGGGTTAGGGTTTAGGGTTTAAGTAGGGTCGACAGAAGTACGTTCTGTGGCCTCAGTTTAGTTGCTTTACATAGTAGGTTGCTTGCTGAAAGGGCTTGCGGCTTCATAATTTGCTGTTTGGGGCGGCCGAGGCTTGCAGGGCTTGTGCATTCATGGGTGGTTGTTACGGTGGTTGTCAAAATTAGGGTCCCTTTTTGGGTGTGCCGTATTATAATAGGGACCCAAAAAGGACCATGATTTTGACAACCGCTCTTACAGTTTTGTCTCGCTTGTTCCTGGATTCCTGCTGTGCATCTCGTGTCATATTGTAGCCGAGCTTTCTGCCGCTTGGGTTTTACGTGGCTGACAGGGTTTGGGACGTAGGACAATTTCGGATATATGGTTGTTATGGGTTAAGGGTCAGTTCAACGAAGAGTCATAGCCATCTCCTCTGATTGATGCCCACTACATCCTGCCAAAAAGCATTCTCTGGGCGCTGTCAGTGAACCTGCACTCACCTGGAAAAGTTCAGAAGCTGGCCATCATCAACATAATGGCAGTACGTAGTACCGACAATACTAAAGAGAAGGACAGAGACTTGACGAATCAGGACAAGCTCTGCAATCCTCGGAAGCCACCAAGGGAGCACGAAGGACCCGCGCACGACATGCCTGAAGTCCGCTGGCTGGAGCGCAGTCAGGCTACGCTTGTGATAGCTAGAGCCGACAGTGCCATCTCAGCTAAGGCCATAGCTTAGGAATCGGAGCATGATACCGAAGCTTTGGCTTTCACTTCTCAAACTCGCCGGAGGCAGCAATTTGCGAACACGCGGCGATGTAGCCCCAGTAGATGCTCGATGGGCTGCTATCCATGAGATGTCTGAGCATCTGCCTCACACTGGAACCCTGCATTTCTGCGAACATGCATACATACCTGGTGGCGATGACGAAGGGGGATCAAGGGATCAACAACACCAAAAGACTGAAATCTGCAGAGGTCGTCGTCAAAGCCGTAGCAATATAGTTATCGCAACGGGCATACAGGTAGAATTAGGCGTAGGTGTAGGGATAGGGGAAGTCGTTGTCGTCACGGCCGTATAGCAGTAGCAGTAGCAGCGGCAGCAGTGGAAGTAGTAGTAGTAGTAGTAGTAGTAGTAGTAGTAGTAGTAGTAGTAGGAGCAGTAGCAGCAGCAGGAGTAGTAGTAGTAGTAGTAGTAGTAGTAGTAGTAGCAGCAGCAGTAGCAGCAGCATTAGCCCTGGGCCAGGCCACACGGTAGGCGGCAGGTTTTGGGTGGTTGGGGTCTGACACAGACACACACACACACACACACGCACACATAGTCCCAACAATCGGTAACTTATCAAAACAAGGTGCATGCTGGCGATGAAATTCTGGGCGTGACGGGAGTGCAAGAACTTTGAGCCATGCCCTCCGCCCAAGCCACCTGAGCGAGTGGAAGGAGCTTAAGACAAAATCGATGCTTCCTGGGCGGCTTCTCCACTTCCTTGCATCAAAACTCCTACCATTTTAGAGTCTGCATTGCGATCTCGTAGCTTGTGCTTGCTGGCTGGCAGTTCCGGCTGGTTGAATGCACGCCTCGCGAGTGCCATCAGCATCAGCATCAGCGCCCGCAGCATCACAACCGGTCGACATCATCACCGTCATCCACGCTACATTTCCGTAGCAGGGATAGTATCACGACAAGAGCGTGTAGCAGGAATACTCCAGGCCATGCCCCTCGAACCCAACTTTAACTGTCAGTGTTATGATTCTGAATCATACTTGTTGCCATGCTCCATGTTCCCACTCTGCTCACTTCGTAAAGCGGCTCATAAAGCCGATGAGGAAGAGGACGTAGAAATGAAAGACCTGCTCAGAGCTTCAGGTCTCTCGCTTCGTACTCGGTATCTTCTAAAGGCGAAGATGGCAGAGCCAAAGTTAGTTTCAGGGTTTTTTCCCTCCTACCCAGCAAGGACGAAACCCGCATTGCAGGGAGTCTTGATTGAACAGTTGGAAACAGCTAGAGTTTCAGGGTTGGGGGTTAACAGTTAAGGCTTTACCTATATAGACCACCCTGTGGAATCTACTTGCTTCAGGTTTCGGCGCTAGGAGTGCGGTTTAGGACCACATCCCCTCGAAAACGACCTGCTTCAGCACATTTCAACCCAAACCCTCAAGGCCCCTATACTAGGGAGTTCGGGCTGCAGCAGGCTGGTCGGAGATTGGGAGAAACGCGAACTTAATTACACCTCTGGTTCAATAGTATCATGAGTACTATTTGGTAGTACTAATATTGCAGTCTTACTCTTATTCCTAGCATCAAACACCGACTTCGGTTTCGCACGCGGGAGGAACACCAACGATAACGCAGAGGGCAACACTAGGAATACAAATAAGAACAAGGCTACTAATAGCAATACTTACCTACAGCGAAGAAAACCAATAATGCCAATAATAGGCCTGCCTCTTCGCCCAACTCGCGTGTACGTTCCTGAAGCTGCGCAACGTTTGCCTTGCCAGGAGTAGAAGTTCAGGACTATCTATCTATCTATAGACAAACAGGCAGCTAGCCGATGGGCAGACAATGCAGACGTATACATGAATACATATATATATATATATATATTGTTTATTCATTTTAGCAGAAAGAAAAGGAGTGGGCTTGAGAACAAGCTTGTTACAGCTTGTTTACAGATTACACTACCATTGTATGCTCAGAGCCAGGACGCTGGGACATTTTCACCCTGAAGCATCTGCGCAAGGTTGAAAACCTCGTGGAGCAAAAGGGTGTTCCTCAGGCTGCATTGCGACTTCGAGGACACTAACACTGCAGCAAACACACCTAGCAATACCCAATAGTCCCGTGGTATGCCCTGAGCCCTCAGAAACTGCAGTAGCAATCCGCAGCAATACTCTGTAAGCCGTAATCACAATTCCAACTGCTACAGCAACAAAAACCCCGCATAGTCATCCTTAATTAAAGCCCTATAACTGCCAAGAGAGTGCACCTCTGAGCCGCCAAGTGTCTCGATGAAGCCCAAAGCCTTCTCACCCAGACCTTGCGTCGACGGGACCACATTCTTCGCATTCCTTAGCTTGGTCGCGATAGTGTGCGGTCGGTCTCTTGTATGTTCTGAAACTTCACAGTCTGGGTTTAGGCTCCGGGTATAGGAACCCTACAAAAACCCAAACAGTAAATGCTGAATCCGAAATCCAAACCCCTGACTCAACCCGCGAAGCCGAGGGGCTTGATCAAGTACAACACTACCTGCTCCGGGCGCCCATGGCTTGATCTGATTTGGTTCATGAGAACGGTCGACTTGCCTCAGCTGCCAGGAGCCCACGACTTACGTCTAAACACACCGCATTTCTGCACCAAATAAACCTACCGCCGTACTCTCCTGCCCGAACAACAAGGCTTGTTAACCCCCTGCTCTGTGATGCAAATCGCTAATGCCCCATTTAGTCAAAAACATGTCCGTTTTTGAAGGGTCCTCAGAATGAGGATCCTGTTCTTTAGGATCTCCCCGCGTGCCTTCCTACGCACCCGCAAAGCCAGCATCTTGGTGCGCGTCTCGCGTGGATGGACCACACTCTTGCTCACACCCCTTTTGGCTTCCGGTTTGCAGCGACAAAGCCCAACCTGTACCCCTTAACCCCAGAAGCCCCAAAGCCCCCAAACCCTGGAGCCCCAAAACCCCTAAACCCTGGAGCCCCAAACCCTAAACCCCTATACACCCTGGGTCCCTTCTCTTCCGACGCTCCCTCCTCGGCCCAGTTGCCGAGCCCCCTTATCGCCAACAGCACGAGAACTGCTTGCAGCTGCTCTGGCGTGGGCTTCCTGGCAAATGCTAAGAATCAGAAAATGGGAGTTTCCGAGAACAATGGGTACCTTATTTGGGGCTCCTTCAAATAAGGATCCCACTATTTAGGGGTACTATATTAGGGTCCCCTGTTTTCTTCGGAAACTCCCAAATAAGAGTAGTGATAAGAACGATCGCAATGGCAAGGGCAAAACAATAGTAATTGTGATGGTGGTAGCAACCGCAAATATCACTATCATCTCAATAACGGTAATAGTAATGACAATACCATCAGCAATACACAAACACAATAACACTAGGCAATTTCAAACAAAAACAACAGCATCGGGGAATGGAAAAGGGTTCTGTGGTATACACGAATAGTAGTTATTCAAGCTTCCTGCTTACAACCGGACATGCTAGGCCAGAGGGGGGCTTTGGTTTCTTTTCTTAAGCTTGAGGGTGTAGGGTTGTGAAGGAAGCTTGACTGCTGCCCTTTGGTCCAAGTACTGATGCTTGTCACCCTAATTGTCCCGGCCCTAGAGCATCACAGCAAGACACCAAACGCCTTCTTTACTCGTCATCCCCCAACATCGATGACGCTACCTTGCCTCAACGACTTTCTTGGCTTGCGTCAATGAGCACAATACGAGCGACTGAACAATAAGCATCTTCGAAGCAAAGCAGACCTATGACAAGACCTTAGTATTGTCTGCGTTTCTACGGTGTTTGGTCGCTCGAAGTCACGGACCTACATTGTCTGCCGTGCCGTGACGAGTGAAGTAATACCATGGTTGGGCTATTCGAAAGTAAGGAACCGACTGCGACCGACCTGTCACTTCGCATCGAACGGCTCAAGTTCAAGTTCACGGTTCATCCAAGAACACTGCATCATCACCATCATGACTCCATCGTCCAACAGCAACCAAAGAACTACAAATATTATTCCCTAGGGCCCCTTATTATAATTCCAGTTTAATACACTCCAAAACCCTATTCCAATGATTATATAGCCCCTCCAATACTCAGCTTCAGGCAAGGTACACCCAGGTTACCAGCTCCCTGAGGTGCTTCCACTGGTCAGGCGTAGTGACCTCCACCGGAGCCAACCTTATACTGTTGCCGATGCTGCTCACTCCGTTCTTAGTTGCATCATCACTGAGAGTGATACATATAGGCATACCTCATCGGCCTCCCTTCGTCTAGAGTCTACACCTTCAGCACAAGGAAATGGGAACTGCGAGATTGGTAGCAGCCTATGGGCCTTCGGTGAAGTTTTAGGGTGCAAAGAGACTCTCCGGGACTAGCCGCATATCACAAGGACCCAGAATAAAAATAAGGCTTTGAGTAAAAAATACTCCCAACTACAATCTGGCAACAATAGTATCGTAATATACGGACCCAGACTTAAATAGGGTTTCGAGGTATATTACACACCCAACTACAACTTGGTAATAGTATCTGGATCCAAGAACAATGCTTTGCAGCAGAGAATCAGCTGCGGCTTCACGAACAGGTTGTAGTCATTGTAAACCAAGGCCAATAAGCTGACACCTGACTGATTACCAGTGAAGCAGCTCTTGCGAGCGATTGCAGGAATCGAACTAAACATCTTTAGTCAAGCAGAGGCCACGGCAAACACCAGCTGCATCACTATTCCAGAAGGATCCCTCAAATCAACAAACACATTTGCCTGTTTGTGTGTTGCTGCCGAGCATGTTTCGGCGATCATTGCAGGGCAACAGATCCTTGAGAGTATCAGGATGTCATGAGACGGATTCGGGCGCATGCGCCTGCAAGCCTACACCCAGACCACCAGCCAAAGGCGCAAGAGGAAACAGCTCGGTCCCGCTCGAAGAGTTGCTCCTGAAGTCTTTATCCTAAGGCTCCAAAGTAGTTCCTTTTTGGGGGTTTATAGTAAGAATCCTGTAGAGTAATCCCAAGAAAGGAATTACCTTGGGGCCTCTGGGTATCTTCGGCAGAGGGGCTGGGATATGAGGGCTTTAGTCGTAAGTCCTAAACCCGAGAATCCTGAGAAACCCTAAACTAAATCGTCAACCTAAATGCTTGCAGTCCAACACGGTAGCGTTTTTTAACCCTAGATCGTGCACCGTCTGCGCCCGAAACTGAAACCTCAAACTGCACAGATCCCGAAGCATGTAGGGCCTACGATCTGGCAATTGAATGGGGGGCATGGTGCCAGTTGTAAATCAAGGCCCGATGGTAGTCGGTAAGTCTATGCGCATCGAGCAGAACATCTGCAGTATCTATGCTGGTCAGGACTGCACGACTTGAAACAGGCAATATCAAATCCGGTCCCTAATCTTCCGAAAACAACATCTAGGATACCCAGTAACCTAAGAATAAAAAGGCCTCTCTTTTTGGAACCTAGGACTACAACAAGGGAATAAGGGTACTACTGGGCATCCTAGACATAGCTGAATCCCAGATGTACCCTAGTACCCGCTATACCGGAAATCGTGGCTCCAGGAGAGCGTGCGTCCCGACGTCTGGATGAAGTTCCGGAATGGCGTTCCTTGGCCCCGAGGCAAAAAGGGGCTAAGGGACTTCCAAGTCGTTGTTTTCAATTTCAGAAACTCCCTGTCAAACCTTCCAAAGGGAAAGCCTCCAGAGACCGAAACTACCATATTCGTTAAAACCGGGGTGGCGGCAGAAACGGCTATAGTCGTCGTGGTGGTGGTGGTGGTAATGGCAGAGGTAGTGGTACTGGCACTTAGTACTACTAGTCGTCCTAGTAGCAGTAGCAGTAGCAGTAGTGGTACTGTGGTAGTATCAGTCGCAGTGGGGGTAGTTTTTGTTGCTACTGCTACTGCGAAAAGAGCAGCAGCGGCAGCAAGCGAAGTAGCCGGAGTCCTAGTGCTAGTATTCGTCCTACTCGTGTCGTCGTCGTTGCCCGAGCAGCAGCAGCGGTGGGAGGAGGAGGAGGAGGAGGAGTAGCAAATGCGGTAGCAGTAGTGACTCTGTACAGTAGTGGTAGCCACCGTCGCATAATAGCAGCAACAGTCGGAGTGGCCCTTGATGTCGTTGTTATCCTCAACAGAACGCATACCGAAACCACAACCCCATGAGACCAGAACAAGTATGATAATGCTGCACATTAATATCCATAGCCATCCAAAACTTCTTGAAGCACTAACACGCTTTTTTACGAGCATCAAGTCATAACGCATCTTCACTTTTAGCACTCAGCGAGGGAGGAAGGGATGGTACAGGCCGAGTCACTGCAGCATCATGATGATGTTTTCCTAGGCAGGTGCCACAGGCTCTTGTTGCGAAGTGGGGTGGGGCTTGGGCTCCTTCTTTTCAGGAGGCTGCTAGGTGCACAGCATAGCTGGAAGGCTCTACAGCTACCCTGAATTGCAGGCAGCGTTTCGGGTGGTCCCCGCAAGTTCCCTTCATGTCCACACCTGATGAGTCGACTCAGTGCATGCTCGCTTTAAGTATGAGTGGGACGCCACTCAGTTTCTTCAGAGGTGCTGCTTGCATAGCATCACCTACCGCATGTCAGGATCCAGCCTTCTCTTATGACATTGTGTGCTACTAAGACCCGAATCCCCTTTTTAAGCACGGACTTGCAGTGTACGCCGGCACTGAAGCTCTAGGGCAGAGCCTTCCTCAGTCACCTTAGGAGACCTCGAAGATGCAAACCCCTAAACCCCAAACAGAACACCCCTGCGTAACCTTTGGATGACGAAAAGCATTCCAAAGGGGTGCCGCTTTCCACGGCGCAGGCGGCTACGACCGGCTATCTGACCAGGACCCCCAATGGCCTTTTCGTAGAGCCCTTATGGTCCCTAAAAGTAGGTCTTTGGGCGAGAATAGAGGGTAGTTGGTATTGCTTCTTCCCAGCACCATTTTTATATATCTA